TCATATGTTTTTGTTTTACTATTGAACCATTTAGTGGCCCTCTTCAATTAATTCATCAATTGTATGAATATAAAGGCAAATAGAAAGCGAGCAGCGCTTTGTTTGATTTTGCGAGTGTCATTGCTGATAAGGAAGTACATTTGTTGAGTTCTTGTTTTTTTTTTTTTTGTATTGTTGTACAATAATATTTCTTTTTTATAAATACATACGTATCTAATTTATGTACTATTCATATGTGGGCGTGGGAAAATTTCTGTGATAAGTGATTAGAGGGAAATCGACAGCTAGTTAAACATCACCAACTTCACATATATTTATGTCATTATACATACATACATACGAGTACCTATACATATCACAGCCAGCAGAGAAAAGTAAATTTTGCCGACAGTGCGGTCCCGTACATTTTTCGTGTCGGGAAATGTACGGAAAACGACTACAATTTTTATTCATTTTCTTATCCAAAAACCGTCAAAAAAAAACAGTGCGATTTTCGTACCCGGAAACGTACAGAAAATGACTTGAATTTTCATTGCGCGCAGGGGAGCATGCTAGTATTTGTTCGCTTTCAGAAGGCGCCAAGTTCGTATGCCGTTAGGCGCTTCCTTAACTTTATTTTCGAACTATGAAAAAGCATCTGTGAACTGCAGAAGGAAAGCATATTGAACGAAAAATTCAATCAGAAAAACAGCCAAGAACTTATCCGTTTAACATTTTCGGTACTATTCTACATTCGTTTCTGCCGTACACTTTAGTGGAAAAACGGATCGTCAAAGTATCCGAAAAAGGAATCGGTAAACGGACAAAAAACAGCATTTCATCCGCTTTTTTTCCTTTTTCGTAATCGTTTTCGGATGCTTTGCTGGCTGGCTGCTATGTAAAATGTATGTATAAGTTGACGGCTGAGTGAAAGAAGGACCTATCTCGGCAGCCCGTTCAAAAAACGCCCTACCTCAAAAAACTTTTCAAGAACGCCCTACTCAGAATTTGGTTGAAGCAAGTCCTTTTTCGTTTTTTTGATTGAAAAACGCGCTATCTCAGAACTTTTTTGAAGAACGCCGTAACTCAGAATTTGGTTCATAAATGCCTTATCTCGGCAGCTGATATAGGGCGTTTTTGAACCGAATTCTTTAAGGGGGTGTTCTAAGAAAGTTTTCTGAGATAGAACGCTTTCGAACTGGCTGCCGAGATAGGTCAAAGGGAGTTTTTTGCAGTAAAACTGAATTTCATATAATTACTGAAAGATATCGGCAATTGGCGAAGTTTTATGATCTCTGCTCAATCCGACCAACGAGAAGAAGTTATAATAGCAGTACCCCTAAACTTCGATTAATCCATATAGCAGACTCATGCTAAATAATCGGATTTTTTCTGATTTTATAACTACTGTATAGCATTTTAACCCAGCTATAGACTTGAAATTTCAAAGCTAGCTCAAACCGTGCAATATGAAAGATAAATTAATCCGCTAGGTGGCGTAGGTATTTCGAGATATTTGAAAACCCCGTATTTATAGTCCAATTTGGTTCATATTTGAAATGCAATTTACCCACATAGAAGCCAATAACTCTACAATAAATTTAGCCGGTAGGTGGCGCGGGAGTCTATATTTTGCACCGCATTTATGCTCCAATTTCGTTCATATTTGGAACATACATATATTATGTATCGCGGAAGGATTTTTCGTCATCCCTTGTCAAATTTGGTTCTTTTTCAGCGATCCCGAGATAGTTTGTACTTTGTTCGGGGTCATTTTGGGACTAATAAAAGACCATTCCGGGACCGTTTTAAGACTTGTTCCACATAATTTCGGGACAAGCTAATGACTTTTTCAGCACTACTTCAGGACAATTTTGGGATCAGGCAGGAAAAGTCATATACTGGTCCCGACAAAATAAATAAAACGAAATGAAATTTATGTTTAATTTCCAACCTAACCTATTTACATATGTGTGTTATTTCATAAGTACCTGGTACTCACTCACGCCTTTTCTCTCCGCCGAATGGCTAGTGCATATATATTTTTCAATTGCAGTACCCACAAGTAGTGTCATGCCAATTTGATTGATTTAATTGAACAAAGATGAATGAGTCAATATGAAATTAAAAATACGTTGAGCATATGCCAAATAACTTTTTCATGCGATCAACCAATTCCTTCCCATCGACTTTAAATCAACAATTGATGTAATATGTAAATTTGATTTCATTATTAAAAATATGAGTAATCGGCAGCTATAAATTACAACTTACATACATCGAAACTTAAAAAACGATACATATACATATACATATGTATGAATATGTACAAATATTTTTCCCGAGTAGTAGTAACGTTAGTTTTCTTTTTCTAGTTTATAAATATTAAGCCATTATGAACTTATAGGTTGATAAATATTGTAATGATATTAATCATATAAATCAAATGAAAAACGCTAATGCTCAGGTAACACAACGAGCGATGAAAAAGATCTTCAGATCGGTCATTAGCGCAATGAAGGAAAAAGTATATTAACAACAGCGTCATTAAAATGTGCAGAAAAAGTGCCTGCTATAATATTAGCTTTGTTGTTAAGAGTAAAAAAAAAAAAACTGGAAATTGTTTCCTTATTTACTAGTGGAATCTACGCAGACTTTTTGCCCATACCATTTTATGTTCATGATATTTTGACGGTATTTGGTGGCATTTTCACAACTGCTCTGCACGAGTTTACATTTGAAATGTTTTGTTTCTCATGTAGAACCTCAAAATTGTTATTTAGAGCCTTTTACAAACTTATAATGATGACAGCGTTGCGCAAGACATTAGTAAAAGTTAGTGGTACTGGGCGTATGAGCAACATTTTTATACGGTCGTTATTAACAGCCAACTATATATCATCCTGAGATGTGCATTTTGCGTGTATGGTAACGCGATCTTGTTCAATTTATTATTGGAGAAGATTTATATTACATTTTTCAATTCGTTTCCGGCAATATTAAATATTCAAATTCCGCGAATCACGAATTGTGAAGGCCGTAAATTTCTAAAAATCAAATTTTTAATACATGCCATTTTTGTATAAATGGATTTAAAAAATACCTCAAGTAGCACACTGGTGCATAAATAACTTGGTGTAAATTTGTGAATTTTGTTATAATTAATCAGATTTATACCAAAATTCGTAAATTTACACCTAGTTATACACCAGTGTGCCACTTGAGACATCGTACAATTTAGGAACAAAATTTGTTTCATAGAACATTTTAACCCGTAAATGTACACCATAACGGCTATTTTTTTGGTTCAGTTTTTGAAGAAATGGCATGTAAGGCGCTAAAAGATACTGGGGTCATTCCATGTAAAAGAGAGCAAAGCGACACAAATTTTGAAATGTCTTAATTATCAATATTTCCGCAGTAATCTTATGCTAAATAACTACATTTCCTCAATCTGTTGGAAAATGTAAGAAATAAAATAAATCGAAGCTGTAACTTTTTATATTTTACAACATACAAAATCTGGCTCGAAAATTCATTCATATAATAGTTACAAAGAATTTTGAAATTTTTTGCTTGTTTTTTGAAAGGAATTTTAAAGTTACTCTCTACTTATGTTAAAAAATATCTTTCCCTCTTTTATAAGTTCCGATGATATCGAGCCCTAACCGCCAAAATAACGTAAGCGACACTTTTTTCAAAATTGTCTTTTTGATGAAGAAATATTCCTATAGCATCTAGATGCATTTCTGCATCAAAAAGAAAATTTTGGAAAAAATGTCGCTTACGTTATTTTGGCGGATAGGGCTCGATATAGTAAATAATAATTCACAGTTGATGACGTTATGGAGTCAATTGTCCCATCAGTCACAATGGAATGGCCCACTAACATACATATATACATATATATGTATGTACTTAGTGAAAATTTTTTCGCACCGTCTTCCGAAGATACCATTAAGATCCTCTTATTGTACAATATTATTTTCTCATACTTGAGACATTTTATTTGGTTTGTTTGTCCGATCAGTTTAATGTGAGAAATTTTAATTTTATAACCTTAAGGTAGAAATTCCCTTTTTGTGGTTTTAACTTTGTTTTATTTTTTAAGGCAACAATTTTTCGTGCCTCGGATTTTTTCAGGAAGTTCGAGTTTAATTTTTGAGAGTGCTTCCCAACTTTTAAGAACTCTTTCCCATTTTTCGCGGGGTTCTTGAAAATTTTCTGGGACCTATTTTTTTACTTTTCGGAATATTTGTTTGGTTTTTCGGAGTCTCTTAGGTTTGTTTTTACTTTTTAGGATTTACCGCGACAATTAAGAATTTTTCAAGATAGAGAAAAATTTTTCGTATCTTCTTCCGAAACCCCCATTAAAATACTCCTATTGTAGAATATTATTTTCGCATAACTTGAAAAAATATAAATTTATTAGGTTTGCTTGGTTGTAATTTGCTTTTATATTTTAAGGCAAACATTTTTCAGATACTTCGAAATTCTACCTATTTCACTTTACGGGATTTTTATGTACTACGCGTTTTTTTCGCAACCATTTAGGATATTTTCGAGATTTTTTTAACCTTTTTTCGGTCTTAGTTTTATTTAGGATCTTTCGCCATTTTATGAACTTTGTGGGATTTATTCGAGTTTGTTTTAACTTGTTTAGGCTTTTAAAAATAGTTCTGTTTATTTTTCCAAATCTTTCAGGATTTTCTTTCCGTGATTTTCGGGATGTATGTTTTTATGTATGTATGTATGAAAGCAGGCCTTAAATATAGTACAGCGTTATATGTATTTACTTTTTCATACTTCCAAATTTTAAAGCACCAAAAACTTTCAAAATCGCTAAAAAGTGCTCCAGTTCTCCGAATCTTAAATTTGTACGCTAAATGTGAGGCCAAACTATCAGAAAATCAACAAAATCAAAATTGTTGCTAAATCCTCATCCATTAGGTACTTTTAAGAGCATTTTTAGGCTCCACATAAACACATTTACTAGTATACACGCATACATATGTACATACCTTTGTTCATGATGAAAGTGATCAACAATAGCAACGTCCACTTTGACGGCCACAAAGTAAACATACTGCAGCCGCAACTGTTGTTCGCCCTTCCCCAGCGGCTGCAACAAACAGGCGTTGTAAGCATTTCGAAAAATTTTAAATAAACCAAATAATCCGTGCTCTTGTTAAATGTCGCGCTTTAACAGCCACATTTTGGTGCACTTACTGGTGCAGCCCGCACGCGTTGCACGTAAATTTGTCACAAACGAAAAGTAAAAAAAAAAACTAACACTAATTTGCAAGTAACTTTTTAAAACTTAAAAAAAAATTAGAGTTTTCAACTCTGTAGTAAACGTGAACCGCTAAAAATATTTCTAAAAATGTAATATTGAGCGCACAATGCTTAAGCGCCTAAAAGTCGACTACAACTGAGAACCGAAAGCAAAAGTGGCGTTGCTTTTATACACTGCGACCATAGCTGTGTGTTGCAGCTTTACTACGTACAAATACAAACGCATATACGAACACAGATGGCATACACGCACACACACATATGAACTTACAAAGATAACACGGCGATGCTAATGGGACTGTTGATTGAATGTAGTCGCTACTGTTGGGTCACACCTGTTGGCCAGCCAAATGCGTTATGACTTGGAAAGGGGTGGTGGGCGATTGAGTGACTACCCCTTTCAAGGGGTTGCTAGTTTGTCTGTCCTATTGAATGCGGATGCCATGCCACCAACTCCACTAGGAGCAAACGTTTTTGTTAAAGGTAAGCGTGGAAATTGAAAAAGTCTATGCTTTCGCTTTTTTTTTTTTTAATGAAGCACGTTGACTTTTTAGTGCCACAGTCGCTTTACTGCAGGCATAAGTATGTATATGGGCAAATCTAAAAAACAGGTAACCTTGGTGTTATTTAGCTTTATTTTCACTGTTGGAAACTATATCAAGCTGGTTGCTTTTGGATATAATTCATTGACTTATACTTGAAGCCTCAAAAAAGATTTGGATCAATTTGCTGCATAACTTTTGAATTATAGGTGTTTAAATTTAAAAAAATAATGAAAACAAGTGAATTTTTTATGTAATTTTTAAGAGGGGCAAAATTAATTATGTCATAACTTTCGAAGCACACCATATTCTCATTTGAAATTTAATGGGCATTTAGCACTTATGTGTATACTTCATATGTAGTAGGTAAGAAAAGTGTGCATTAAAAAATAACGAAATGGCAAGTAACTCTAAGTCTGTAACTCCACATTTCACCATTTTCAACATTTTCGGTTTATCGCGTATAGTTTTTGAAGCATTTAATTTTAAGAACTTTTTAAGTATGTATCGTATTCTACAAACAATTACGAATAATTTGACAACTTAGCAAGAGGTGTGCTTTCAGAATAAACCATGTTTTAAAGATAAAATATTCTGCGATCTCGAGCGTAATTTTTATTCCAAAAATATCTTATTTGAAGGCACATTTGGAAAATACGTCGAAACGATCTAAATATTTATATAGCTAATAGTCCTTATAACGTTGTATATACCTGTAAAATGCTTCAAAAAAATGTTCTCTAGAAGTGTGCGAAAACGCCGATTTAGTACTTTTAATTATTTTCCTTCTTATAGTCAGAATATTTCGAGCGTGGTATCAAATCAAATTTTTTTCGACAAAGGTTCTGATAGTTGCTCTTACTTAATTGGAGCCCCTTAAATTCAATCGCGTCCCCAGTTTTTCCCGATTGTCTCCAGTTTTGGAGATAGCGGTACTTGAAACTTTGCTTAAATTTTAACTATTTTATAAAACAACTCCCTCCGTTTTGAAGATATTTTACTACAATTTTGCACACGCTTGTATTTTAACATTTCCTTCACCATCTCATAAAATCATCGAAATCGGTTTACTCTAAAATATAGCTCCCATACAACTGATTGACCAGAGACGTTGTTTTGCGTTATAACTCCTCCAATTAAGCATGTAAAAATTTAGTATAGGTTCACTTTAACATATAGGACGCATACAATTTATTATTCAGATATGAAATTAGAGTTATAGCGCAAAAACACATATCTGAGTAATCAGTTGTATTAGAGCTATACGTTAAAGTGCAACCATTTCGATAATTTTAAGGAATAATTAAGGTAATATTAAAAAACCGTTATGTGCAAAAGTTTAGCAAAATAACTTCAAAACTGATGGAGTAATTTATAAAATAGTTAAAATTTAATCAAATCTTCAAATACCGTTATCTCGAAAACCGGAGCCAATCTGGTAAAACGGGAGATGCCATTGAATTAAGAACGTCCCAATTAAGTGAGTTCAACTTTCAAAATCTTTGCTCAAATTTTACAACTTGAACAACGTAATTTGAACCCAGCTTATTCTTTTGTTTTCTATTTCATGTTTATTCCTCGTCTAACTTTTGAAGCACTTGATGAAAATGAAAAATGAAATTTTTTTTTTGGAGTTTACCTATTTTTTAGATTTGCCCATATATGTACATATGTATGTATGTACGTATGTTTTTAAGTATGTTTCCCACTTTTGCTATCAACGCTGTCATTGCTGTCGATATTGTTGCTGATTAGTTTGTCGTTTAGTTGCCAGCCTGTGCGTGCCAATGTTCTCAAAGCTCATAGGATTGCGTTTTTATCGTCGAATTTTCCAAAAACTACCCAATTGTTGTAGGGGATATCTATGACATCAAAAGTAGATACAAAATGCACTGAAATTAGCTTTGAGGTGGCGCGATTAAATGTAAAACTAAATACGTACGTTACTCTACTCTATGTCGAGGTGTTTGCTTGAGTTTGTGTGGGGGGTTCACATACATACATAAACATTAGGGTGTACTTTTAACCGACTTCCAAAAAAGAAGGAGGTTATCAGTTTGTCGGAATATTTTTGAAGTGAAACTTCTTAATCGAGTTCGGAGATGGTTGCGTTAAATATTTAACACCAAGCCATAAACTCTGTATCGTTCGTTCGATTTTTAAAAATGAGGTGTCACATGAAAGGCCTTGTCCTTCTGGTTTACAACATAGCTTTAGTTCCATGAAAGGAGTTGCCACATGTTAGAAAATCGAATTCAAAATTTCTCTGCCGCAGAGGGTTGCGTAAAATATTTAACATCAAGTCATAAAATCTGTATCGTTCGTACGATTTTCAAAAATGAGGTGTCACATGAAAAGGCTTGACCTGCAGATGTGCAGTATGGTTTTAGTCTTTTAAAGGGTTGCCATATATACGAAAATCAAATTCAAATTATTTATTAAGTTAAACGAATTATCCCAATATGGGTATCGAAAGAAATGGTTTTGAATAAGTTGTATTTTCTAGCTAAATGTAGGAGGGTTTTTTTTTTATTTGAGAGTTGAAGTCGGTTTTTTTTTTTTTGCTAAAAATTACTTGTCAACTGTCTTTTTGTATACCAACTGTATGAATTCATCAAACTTTGATTGCGTTTTCCTACAAAATTTTAGTTTTGAAATACTTCTGTATATTATTAACCTTGCGATATCAGCATCACGGGGCACTCCTTTATTTTGTTCCACGTATAAAGTAAAGACATTCACGAGAAAATAAATTTTTTTTTGATTGCAAAAAATTGTATACTTTGACCAGCTATAAGTCAGCAAGTTTATGAATTTATATGAATAGGTTTCAATGCCAAATTTATCAGATTTTAAGTAAAAGGTTTGCGAATTTTTCGCTTTTAACAAAAACAAACTAAATTTTTTCAAAACCCTGGTAGCGACCCCCAATTTATTTTATTTTTTTTTATTGTGATACTTTCGTGGATATATTTATAATACCATAAAAATTTAGATTTTGATATTTTAAGGACTACCCTTATATACACGCATATAAAAAAGGAAAATAGATAGTTATATGCAATTGAAAAAAATATTGTTCCAAGTATCGCGAGATAGTTTTCCAGTTCAGTTTAAAAGTTAGCTGATCTGTATTAGTTGAAAAAAGTCCAAAATAAGATCGAACTTTTGTATGTACGTTCCTTGGCTAGGTTGCCACCTAATTATAAACAATTATTATTTTTAGATGTTTACTGTGATAAGACTTTATCTATTATATACTTAATAACACAAAATCAGGTTAAATCGTTACACACGAGTCTGAGGATATGTATACAGAACATTGCCGTTCCTTTAGCGGATTGTAGTTGAATCTTTGGCTTTTTGCTGATGGCTGAATATAGGCCCTTTAGCTGCACTTCACCAAGTGGTGCAAGTCTTCACCTTCTGAGAGCTGGATACTCGCAAATTATGATATCAAGATATTTGTAACGTTTCCATATCATCCCCGTCCGGAAAGCTCGACGCTGAAAAGCTGCAATCGCAACAGACAGCCAACAGATTTGTCAATCAGCGTTCAATCCACTCGCAGAGAGCCCTCATTACCACATAGACTTCTGCGCCCCTGGTGACAGATGTCCAAAGTACTCCTTAAATTATGGAGACAACACTTTTTCACCTTGCTAAAGGCCAACAATAGTGAAAATTTAGGAAATAGCGAACATCCCGAGACACTCTTCAACTAACTTCTTTTTTGTGTTCGGCAAGTAAGTTGCGTAAATTGTTACGTGTGGGAGTACATTTCTGGCCACTTATGGGAGTAGTGCGTTAACGCCGGCACCAGGTGGCCCATTCAAATTCCTTGATTTTATACGATTCTTATAACAATCATCTGATGTCACTTGTGACCGTTATTTTCCATTATTTTTAATATTAATTTGATTACGACATATACTGCTAAACATACGTACATACATACATGCAAATGCAAATATGTATCCGCTTTCATCGCAACGGTTGATATCCTACTCAGGTGTCAAAGTTAAAAATAAAATAAGCGCATAACGCTCATAATTATATTACATTATCAATTTGAGACTTATATTAAACACTTTTACTATAGTTAAGTTCGTGTGTGCATGTAAGTGGGTTAAGGTGCAATGGGCCACAAGTGTTATGGAATTTCAATACAAATACACACATACATACATATGTATTTATTTATACTCATCGGTATGTCATGAAATTGAATAATGCTTATAATCTTTTAAACGCCACCATATGATGATTCATAATCTGTGCAGATTGAATGCGTGGGATTTTCAGCAATTATGTACTTATGGACGGCAAAAATGTTGTAATCGGGTAATTATTGCATATTATAGCGGTAACAAGGGTGTACAATCTGTGGCTAAAATATTTATTTCAATAATAAATGAGTAGCAAAAGAAGCTTATT